GGGTCTCGAACCTGCAGGGTCAAGCAACCCATTCACCTCAGCCTCCCAAAGGTGCAGGATTACAGGCTGAGCCACCGAGCCCGGCTAATATTTTTTTTTTTTTAGGAGATAGGGTCTGGCTGGGCACAGTGACTCATATCTGTATTCTCAGCAAGACCCTGTCTTTATAAAAAAATCAAAAAATTAGCCAGGTGTAGTGGTGTACCAGCTACTTGGGAGGCTGAAGCAGGAGGGAAAAAAATAAAAGAGAGAGAGAGAGAGAGAGAGAGAGTCTCTCTATGTTGTCCAGGCTGGTCTTGAACTTCTGACCTCAAGCATCCTCCTGCCTCAGTCTCCCAAAGTGCTAGAATTATAGGCATGAGCCATCAGCCACCATTCCCTTCCCTACTGAGTTTTTTTATATCAATGACTATATTTTCAATAACACAAATGTTGTTTTGTTTTGTTTTTTGAGACAGTCTCACTGTGTAACCCAGGCTGGAGTGCAGTGGCACAATCATAGCTCACCTCAGCCTTGACCTCCTAGGCTCAAGTGATCCTCCCACCTCAGCATCCCGAGTAGCTGAGACTACAGGAGTGCACCACCATGCCTGACTAATTTGGTTTTGTTTTTTATTTTTCGTAGAGACCAGGTCTCATTAAGTTGCCCAGGCTGGTCTTGAATTCCTGGGCTCAAGCAATTCTCCTGCCTAGGCTCCCAAAGTGCTGGGATTACAGATATGAGTCACTGTGTCTGGTCCATTTTTAGAAGTTTTTATAATTTTCTTTAAATAAGCCTGTTCCCACTGGGCACAGTGGCTCACGCCTGTAACCCTAGCACTGTGGAAGGCTGAAGCAAGAGGATTGCCTGAGTCCAGGGGTTTGAGACCAGCCTGGGCAACTTGGCGAGACCTCATCTCTACAATAAATCAAAAAATTAGTTGGGCATGGTGGCGTATATCTGTAGTTCCAACTACTTGGAAGGCTAAGCAGAAGGATTACCTGAACCCAACAAGTTTAGGCTGCGGTGGTCGTGAGTGTGCCACTGCACTCCAGCCTGGGGGACAGAGTAAGACTCTGACTTTAAAAAAAAAAATTCCTATAATCCCAGCACTTTGGGATGCCAGGATGAGAGGATTGCCTGAGTCCACAGGTTTAAGACCAGCCTGGGAAACTTGGTGAGATGTCATCTCTACAATAACTCAAAAAATTAACCGGGCGTGGTGGCGCATGCCTGTAGTTCCAGCTACTTGAAGACTGAGGTGAAAGTATCGCCTGAGCCCAGCAGGTCAAGGCTGTGGTGGCTGTGAGAGTACCTCTCACTTCACTCCAGCCTGGGTGACAGAGTGAGACTCCAACTCAAATTTAAAAAAAAAATTGAAGATGAGTTAATCCACGGCCCGGCCAACAGGTTTATTCCCTTCCTTTGCACTGCACACCTCCACTGCAGCCTTGCTCTGCCAGATCCTCAGTCAGACCAAAAAGCACCTGAACTTGATCCCCCTCTTTGTATTTATTGGAGCGGGAGGTACGCAAGCCACACTTATCTCATGCATCTGGCAATGTTCAATCCAGATGTTAGTTGGGACAGAAAAAATAACCCAGAGCCCTGGAACAAACTGTATCCCAGTGATCAATACAAGTTCTTCTCAGCGAATGTGGATTACAGCAAACTGAAAAAAGAAGGTCCAGAATTCTAATGAAATGTTTGACTGTAAAGCTACTTAGAATGAAGGACTTTCAGAAGCCATCTGCACAATTTTACACTTAACCAGGAAATATTTCTCCTCTAAATGCATGAAATTATGCTGATGTGTTGGGGGATCACCCTAATTAATAAATGCCTGAAACTTGAAAAAATATATTTTTTCTGCCAACCGTTGTAAGATCATGGAAAGTGCTCACAAGTTCAAAGGATACTTTTATGTACCCATCTTACCTAACTTCAGAAGAGCAATATTCCAGAGTTACTTTCTTCTTCTTCATTCTTTCCTTTTGTTTCTGTAACCTCCCATACTCTCTAGTCCTCTTCTTCCCTTTAAACTATATCCTGGCTGGCACGGTGGCTCAACACTATAATCCCAACACTTTTGGAGGCAGAAGCAAGAGAACAGCCTGAGCCTGAGGGATCAAGACCAGCCTGGGCAACATGATGAGACTTCTTCTCTACAATAAATCAAAAATTTTTCTGAGTGTGGTAGCACATGTCTGTAGTTTTGGCTACTTGGAAGACTGAGGCGGAAGAAAGGATCAAGGATCACCTGAGCCTAGCAGGTTGGGGCTGCAGTGGCCGGGAGCATGCCACTGCACTCCAGCCTGGGCAACAGAGTGAGACTCCAACTCAAACAAACAAACAAACAAAC